AAGACTCCACGTGACTCCCTGTGCGCACTGAGCCCATCACAAGCCTGATATTTTTTCTCATCTGCAACAGTAAAAATTAAAGGCCTGAATCTCCCTCGCTTCATGGTGTTATTTATTTTTATAAAGAACCGGTTTTGAGCGTGGGCCTCACCTCCGTGGCCTGGCCTGGGGCTTGAGGATGGCAGAGGGACCAGCCTATGGCTAAAGATGCTTTGGAGAGAGAAATGGAGCCTCTGGAACCCGGCGCTTGGCTACCAAGCTGGGCAGGGCTCTGGTTACCAGCCCCAAGGCGGTTCCTTTACCCCATCACAAGTATCCGTCTATTTTTAATGCAGTTTATTTATAATTGTGTTGTGACGCAGCAGTTGGTAGGACACAATGGAGCTTCATTAAACAGGTCTTCAGAGCTTTGCCATTAAAGTCATGGAAAAAAAAATCAACTTATTCTTAAATATGATTTTGCAGGCATCCTGGGAAGCGTTTCCTATGAACCCCAGAGTGAAGCCACAAAATAGTGTCAACAAACAGTAGAAATGGAGCTACTGGAGACCCAACTGCTAATGGCCAGTCCTGTCCATTTTAAATCTAAAGCAAACACTTATTCATGCCACAAACTAACATTTTCGTGTGCTTGCCATAAGAACTCTATATAATGTCTCATGCTCTCATGCTATGATTTCAGCTCTGAAATGAGGGTTGTGGGTTTGTAAGAAGAATTGAAGAGGATCAATATTCCATATGGTGTTTGTTATTTTCAAAGGCAGAGTTTGAATTTGAAGTTGCACAATATCCCAGAGAACAGTCATCCCAACACGGAGCTTACGTTTCCGAGCCCGTGAACAGCAGGGTGTTTTGAGCTGCCATTGAGCAGCTGCTGGGGTTAGTTTATAGCAATCACATTGCTAACCTCACAGAGTAGGGGTTTACTTGTCCAAAAAAAAAAAAAAAAAAAAAGGAAAAATCTGCTAAAAAGGACAGCCTTTTCTCAAAACGACTCATTGCACTGGGTTTTGTCATGTAGCAGAATCGATTGCAGCAAAAGGAGCTGGAAGGGGTTGCTATAGCGAACTGTGCATGGAAAATATGCAGGTGCTTGAGGAAGTTGTGCAAGTTTTGGCTAAGTTTTGGGGCAAATATACCCAAGTGCAGCTCTGGCAGGACAGACTCTACCTAAAAACACCCTTAGCACCTGCAATATTTCACTGATGACTGACTGTACGGTCCATCAGGTGCTGCCCAGGACCCTGAGCTCCCCACCACATGAAGCAGCGTGGACGGTTGCTTGGATGTTTTTGGAGTAAAATGTAAAACCTTGCTTCGGGATTTTCCTTTTGCCATTAGCTCTCCTTTCTAGTGAGGGTGAAAGTTATCCCTAAGCAGCAACAGAAGCAAATAATGCAACACTTTGTGCCTGCATGAATTAGTACATGTGGCTGTGCTGTGGTATAAATATCTGGGGCAAAAACTAGGAATTAAATGGAGCTACTCAAGACTCCTGGATGAAGCACATGCAGACAGGCTTTGCATGAGATTGGTTCTGTGGTTAGGGGGAGCAGAGGGAAGAAACAAGCCTGGTTTTAAGATATCATGCTAACGATCTCCAGTCTGATACAGTTCTGCACTGTAGAACTGAAGAGGGCACTTCATAGAACTGGTTTTGACAGCCCAGGCAGACTCGTGCCAACAGCCTGTAGTGCTAAAACAGGAAAGATCCAAAGCGACCAAATGGTGGGTAAAAATGCAAAATCTTGAGCACCTACAGGGCCTCCGTGCTCATCCTGCCTCCCGCTGGCCCTGCCTCTGGCTTGTCTGCAGCCCCAGAAAAACCGCGCAGCTCCTGTGAGATCCGTGGCAGCACAGGCAGTTGTGGCGTTTGGGTTTGGTTGCTTTCCCGAGTTTGACAGATTTCTGAGCCGAAAAGGTGTGTGCATGCTGCTGTCGGCACACCCGGCACCAACTCGTTCCCACCAAAACAAAGAATTTTCTCTAGGTCTCCAAAATCCACCTTTCTACAACAGTTTTCTTCTGCACATGTCTAAGCCCAAGCCCTAATAGACAAGGCTACCTTTGGCAGGGGACAGTACTGGGGCTTTTTTACTTCTAGCAAGCAGCAGCTGAGGGATGGAAAAGCCCATCCTGCTCTGTGTCATCTGAAATATCTGCACAAAGGCCAGGATCGCCCATGGATCCAGCCTTGGCTGGACCTTGCTGAGACGTTGGATGGACCCAAGGGGTGTCTGGGATCCAAAGAACCACAGCCTTGCAGGGAAGGCCACCCTTGGCACCAGGGCCCCAGGGGGGGCAGGGCTCCGGAGGCAGCTCTTCAAAAAGGAAAGAATTGTGTTTCTTGGTTAAAATTGCTCAATCACTGACTTGCAATTTCTGCAGCTCTTGGAAATGTGACTGGTGTCGGGTGAGGTAGGATTGCCCTCTGCAGGAGAGCGTAGAAAAGTGGGGTTTTGTCCTTTCTAATGCACTGCCTGGATTAAACACAGAAATCAAACCCACAGGGCGTTTAAACCAATGGCACTGCCTGGGGAGAGGGCCCAGCACCGAATTTAGGTTCTCCCTCCACCAACAGGCTCCCATT